AAAAAAAAAGAGCACACACACACCAAATATAACCATACCGATACAAGATTCCCAATGGCAGCAATGGATCACCTAATGAAAGGCTCGCAGCTTGCGAATTTTACCGGGTGGAAAGATTCTGGCGGCACCGTGGGGTCGCCAATTTGCTCGCCGGCGGCAGAGGTGGGCGTAGAGCCACCACCGACGAAGCTACCTGGCTTTCCCCTTTCCTCAAGCTGATGAACAATCGATTTCGATCAACTGAGCAAGGTCCTAAGCATGAGGAAAAGGTTCCGATTAGTTATGGTGTTGAAGTGAGAGCGAGATACGAGTGATGGAGCCGGTTGAATCCGTTAGGGCACGGAGAGGAGGGCGGGTGAGTACGTGAGATATGATGCTTTCTTAAACGTCAGATGGAGCGGATTAAATAGACAGAGGCCAAGCGAGTTTGACCGTTGACGCTCTTTTATTGAACTAGTACTAGTATTTTACCAGTGCATTTGCACAAATGTAAATAAAATATTGTGAGTTATTTGTATGCATATAATGATTAATTATTTTTCTTTCACGTTTTTGCAGCCAATTTTTACAATTAAAGGAGTTGATTTTTTTTTTTTAAATTGCGTTTATTAGATTGGGTGTAACGTATATTTTAGTATGTATTTTTTTAAAAAAATTATTTATAATTTATTTAGGAGTTTCATATACTTTTTTTATTTTCCAAAAAAAATAATTTACATGTGACCACAATAATAATATCTAATCACATTATACGGTAACACATTATATGGTTAACTGTCAGTAATCAAAAGTTCAAAATAATTTTTGTATTTTAAATTGATTAGTGTATTGATTATCTATTAATTAGGTTAAATAAATGAAAAGTAACGGTTTTTGGGGGGAAAATGTAAAAGTGCCACCTAGGTATAATTTATGAGGTTTTCTTAAATGTAGAAGAGCTAGTAATTATATATATATATATATAGATTAAACCGAAATGTTGCAAATTGCAAAATGATACTCAACCAAACCCACAATGTTTGCACCTCTTAAAAAAATATCATATGTCATGTACGAAATAGACTAATTAAATTATAAAAAAAAAAAGAGTTTTTCAATGCAATTAAAGTGGACATGGGTCTAACTTTGGTGGCAAACAAAAAAAGAAAAAACAAGCTCATTCTAGGGTCTATTTGAACCAAAGTACAAACCTGAACAATCAATAATTATTTACAATTTTCTTTTTTGTAATGGACAAATCGGATGGTGGAAAATATTGGCGGTATCAGAATTTTTTCTTTTGCGTAAAAACTGGTCGCGGCTGATTCAGAGAAAATATAGAATAATCATCATAAGACAAATTTTAATTTGAGCAGATCGAACTCTCGAGTAAATTGCATAATCTCAGGTTCGATTTTTTTCCCCAAATATCTATTATTTGGTCCTACGATTGTCTCAACCGAATGTGCACATCTTTATGTTTTATTCTTTTCCTCTCCCGTTCTCTGCTAAAAATCTTAGGGTGTGTTTGGGCCAGTTTTTTCTCTACAAAATTATTATCAACCAAAATAATTCACATGATACTGTTGTTAGTGTTTGTTTACCAATTTATTATTTTTACTTTTACTTTTTGTGGGTCTCATCGCATGTAGACATACACAACTAATCTGTAGACATACAAAGATCTGTTCCGTCACTCATATCACTCATTTTTTAAATTTCACAATTTCAACGACCCACCCACCACCAAAAATAACCAAGCATTTTGTGGTATAATGACCACATACCCATCTTCTCCATGACCGGCTGAGAACTTCTCGGAGATTGGGAGCCACCACGCAACTTTGACGATTGACGTCAGCAGCGAGAGCATCGGCATTGCTTCAGGCACGTTGCCGGCAAAAAAACGAGCAGCGACGCAGGTAAGTCGGCCCTCTATTGAGATTAATTTGCTCTGAAATTTTGTCATTTCCTTGAACAACCGCGCGTGCTTGTGACCGAATATAGTGATGAATTGATTTTTTTTCCCAACACCTTAAATTCCGAAATTGGGAATTAGGGTTCTTCCACAATTTCTGTTTTGTATTTGTAGGTTCCTTGTTGTCGGTATACATACTGTTGTTATGAATTTTGTTTTATTAGTAATTCCCCAAATAGAGTTATGTTCTGTGTTCGATTGTGTTTTCATAATAAATAAAGAATAAATAGAGATTAATTATATGTCCCCATCTATTTAATTTTCTTTAATTAAATTCTTTTAGTCATAGTTTCTATTAATTAATTAAACTCCTAAGCAATAAAGAGAATGTATATTAATCTAAGATAAAATAGCACATAA